AAAAATAAAAATCAGAAAGAGAAAACTCAAAAATATTTTTCATAATATATTCAGATTTTTTGTCTAAAAATGATTTTTCTATGATTTTTTGAAATTTAAAACAATTAAATATAAAAATCAGAAAAGAAAAATAAAGTAAAAAATATATGGACCATTGGATGAGAGTCAAAACGCGTTAGTAATCAAATCCAAGGGATCTGGCGCGTTATGCATATCATGGTCATTAGTGAATAAAGCACTGAATCAAATGCAAATCAGAAATTCAAAAAAATTCAAATGGCGTTGTTTCATTGGTTGAAGGATGACACGTTGGTCATCTTCAACCTCCAGCCAGTCCCAAAGCCAAGTTGCTCAATCTGTAAAATTAGAGCACGAGACCTACGCCATTCGCTTCTTCTCTTCAAGACGAAGACAACCATACGTTCGCGATAAATTTATATAAATTGTGGCTCAAGAAATTTGGAAGAAAAGTTTTGAAAAGGGATTTGAAATTTCATGTCCAAAACATGTTTCCAGATAAAAGTAAGTGTTGAAACTAGAACCAGAGCAATGAGGGCATCACAGTGATATCAAAGTTTTGAAGAATTGATGAAGAAATCTACCTATTGAAGTTGAGTTGCAGAGCTCTAAAACTGGACTTCTATGGAGCAATATAGGGCAAAATTCTTGAAGTTAATTATATGGTTAGCTTCATGGAAGATCAAGGAAGGTAAATTGATAGAGAAATTGGATTAAAAAAAGGCTTGAAAACAGATTTCAAAGTTGCAGAAATTTGAGTTATGGAACAAGTTTGGCAGGGTGATTCTGGCTATCCAAGCTTAAGAAAATGAATGAGGGATGACCCTCTATTTATAGGGAATCAAATGGAATGTCCAAGCGTGTGAAATGATGAAGTTTGGAGGGAAACCGTGTAAAGTTGCAAACAAGAAAAGTGTGACTTCTAATTTGATTAAAACTCATCCAAAACGTATGTTTTATTGTGCTAATCACTTCTGGAAGTTCACTAAACATGTTTAGAGGCAAAAACACGCAGAAACAAAGTGTTGAAAAGCTAAACCAATGATTTCAAATTCTGACTTTTGAAGAAACTTCAGTTTCAAGTTACCAAGTTCAAAACAATGGCATTCTCAGCTCAACGGGTTTTAGGGCATGATTCTTGATGCTTTAGAAAGATGATGTTACAAGCTTTGCAATGAAAAAATAATGAAATCAAATGGATGCTTGATCTGAAAGTTGTATTGAGTCAAAGTTGGAGAAAAAGGGTTGACTTTCCATACTTAGAGATATTTCAAATTTTTCTTCAAAAGTGACCTATAATGTTTTGCATTCAAACATGGCCTTCCACTTGGAATTTACTCTTGACCAAAAAAGATGGCATGAAATAGACCTCTTGAATGACATTTTGAAACTTGAACCATTCAAAATCTCCAAAAGTTGAGAGTTATGAATTGTTGAAGTTGGCAAACGATCATGAAATGACCTATAATCTTTTGTATCCTTAGGGAATCTTCCATCCATTTTCTCACTTTTCATATAAAAGAAGGGATAAAGTTCACATTCTCAAGATCATTATGGAAAACTAGTGGGCTCAAGGTGATAAAAATGGACCAACTTATGATCATTTGAAGTCACACATGAGAAAATGGGTGTTCATCTGGAGGACTTGTAGTCTTTCTTCATCATCAAGTTTCTTTCACGTGAAGACTTCTTGAAACTTTTGAAGTGATTTTTTAATAACCCTTTGAATAGAAGGATGTATTTGGAATCACTCAAAAATACCAAAATATGAGCAAGATATACTTCTTTGAAGTTCAAAACCCTAGTTCCTAGATCAACAAAATGCTTGGAGGAACCTTGACAATTTTGAACCACCTTCTTGTACCAACACCCTTGCTTTGCAAATAGAAGTTGTTGAGGATGAAAATTATAACTCATAGCCACCTAAACCACTTCCATATCTTGAGAATTGAGAGAAATATGCACTTGTGATCAATGAGAACAAGACTTTGTCAAACCATGACAACTTCTTCATTGAATCCCTTGCATTTTTGAATCAATCTTGATATCTTAGAAATGTAGTGAACCAAAAATAACCTTGCCATGACATACCTTCAAAAACAAATTCAATGGTGAGGTTTGGACTTCTCAAGCTTTATTTCTTAGGGCTTGGAAAGACGTTATTCCTCTTTCTATTGCGGGTCGAGCGATTCTTGTTCAATCAGTGATTAATTCTATGTTAAATCACAATATTGGGATATATTCTTGGAATTTTTATCTTCTTAACAGCATTGAGAAAGCCTCTCATAATTTCTTTTGGAGAGGGAATGCTAAAACTCATAAGATGATTACCATATCTTGGCATAAACTGTGTTAGCCTAGAGCGTGTGGCGGCCTTAATGTTAGATCCCTGTTTAGTTTGAATGATTCCCCTAGTCTGAAGCTTTGTTGGGATTTTATCAACTCCTTGAAAGAGTGGGAAATTATTCTGAGGGGAAGGGTCTTGCGTTCTTTCGGGAAAATTTCGCATCACATTTTCCTATCTTCTGGCTTGGCATCGGACCGCACCTTTCTACTATCATGGAAATATTCATGGGCGGGTTCTCCGTTTATTCACAGCCTTAACGTTCAAACATCTTATGACCTCAACATCAACTTAGACATGTTGGTTTAAGAAATTTATTTCAACCATTCTTGGAACATTCCTTTAGCTTGGTATGATTTTTTTTCCTTCTTGGAAGATAAGCTTAATGAAGTGTATTTGGTTGGAAATCTTAAGGATGATCTTTTATGTTAGAATCTTTCAACCAATGGGCATTTGGATTTAAAAGAGGCTTATAGGTTTATTTTGAACTCCACTTATTCTCTTCCATGAACGACATCCCTCTGGAGCCAATTTATCCCTCCATCTAAATCTTTGCTTATTTGGCAGCTTCATCACAACAAAGTCTCAACGGATGAACAATTGTGGATTCGGGGTTTCAGGATTGTTTCAATTTGCTCTCTGTGCAATTGTAATGAAGAAAATTATGGCCACCTGTTCTTTTATTGTCATTTTTCTTGCAAAATCTGGAATTGGTTGTGTAGTCTATTAAACTTGCAGGTTTCTAAATCGGCCGATAATTTTTGGAGGCTCTCTTCTAAAGTCGATTCTCCTCAAGGTGCTTTGGTGATTACTGCAGCAATCGTTTTTTGGATTAATGTTATTTGGTCCGCAAGGAATTATGTCAGTTACCATCATAAGAAGCTGTTTTTTCACACGGTTTGTGCTAATATTGCATCTGAGGCGAAGCTTTCTTGCACTGCAACCAAGCTCCCTTTCCGTAATAGTGTGTTCAATTTTCAGGTGCTTAAAGCTTTTCTTATTCCGATTAATTCGCCTCGTGCCCCTATCATTAAAGAGATTATTTGGAATCTGCCTCTTCACGGTTGGACAAAATGCAATGTTGATGGATCTTTTGTGATGGGAGTCTCTTTTTCCCGTTGTTATGGGGATTTCTCTTTAGATTTTGTAGAGCCTATTTCCTGGAGTAATTCCTTCATTGCATAATTTTGTGTTGTTCTTAGAGGGATTAAGATTGCTTATGACAAAGGTTGGTTGAATATCTAGATTGAATCAAATTCATCTTTAGTGGTTAATGCTTTTCGTTCTGAGAATGAGACTTTAATCCCTTGGCAACTTAGAAGTAATGGATTTTTTGTTCCAATGTTCTTTTAAGCATGAACTTCATTATATCGCATATTTGCAGGACAGACAATAGCTATGCGGATTTTTTTACTAATTTAGGCCGACAACTAATTCCTTAACTTTTTTTATTCTTTATCAATTGAGATTAGAGGCGATTATGTAAAGAATAGGTTAGGATTACCTCTCTTTGAATATAGATACTTTTGAGTGGATATTGGCTTTTATCCCCTCACCTTTTTCTATATCAATCTTTTTTCTAATGCATATTACCTTCATCTAAAAAAATCGTAATCTAATAATTAACATTTTATAATTAACATTCGTAGTTAATTCACCAATCGATTTAGTAAATTACTCATAAATGAAATCATTGAGACAACTTCTTTCTGACAACAAAAGGTTTCAAAGGGTCAGGTTCTCAGGGTGATCTTATTCACAAACACAAATTGATATCTATAATCAAAGGTTTATTTTAAAAAATAGATTTAATATAATTATTACTTTATTTACAACCGAAATTTTATCATGAAATAATTCATAAAATATTAAAATTCTGCATATGTTCGTAAAATTATAACGAGACTTATATTTATTTATTCATGAAATAGTATCAGTTAAATGTTTAACTAAATATAAATTTCTATTTTGATTTAAAGTTAGAAAATTTAATTTCCAGTATAAAATATTACTAGGAATAAAATAATTTCCTTATTGCCATATTATTATTTTAAAGATAATTGATGAGTAGGAATTGTTATCATAAATTTGAGAATAAAATTTAAATAGTTATCTTACTTTTATAAATAATTTTAAAAATACCACATACATTTTTTAAAAGCATACGCATACTTAAGATTCTCATTTATAGTTTTCAAAATTTTATTTTTTGAGAATAAATTTTTAATCCGTGAAGTAAAATGCCCCATAAATAATAGGTTAGGTTGTAGTAAGTCGCTTTCCCTTACAAAAGCAATATTGTTTACATTTTCCTTTCCTATAAATATTTTTATCAAATTGTCAAAAAGATAAAATAAAAAGGGTTGATTAAATCTACAAAGTACGGGGGAGTGCCATGACTTTGTAAACTCCAATTTGAAATATAAAATGGTAATAAAAAGCTATGGTGCATCACCTATGAAAGCAAAATATCCAATAAAAATGTTGAGCCACTTTGTCAAGAAACTTGAAAAAGTCTAAGATATTGAAGGCCATAACACTATATAAAGCCTTATAATCCATATACTTTAAGCAATCATAAACAACAAATCTTCTAAATAGCAAAAAAGACATATAAGGCTGCTTATAAAGAGAGAACATGGGAAGCTCAATTGGAGCGAGGCAATGGCCTCGACTCATATATGCAATAGCACTTTGCTTAATTGCTTTTACTACTTTTGCTATTGCTGATGATGATAAGCCTTACTATGGAGAACAATATCCATACAACAACTATCCTCAACCACCTTACACTTACAAACCACCTCTATATAATAACTATCAATCTCCACCCCCATATGCTTACAAATTCCCTCCATATAATTATCAATCTCCTCCTCCATATGACAATAAATTTCCTCCATATTACTATAAATCTCCACCATCTCCTTATGTAGACAAATTCCCTCCAAATTATTATAAATCTCCACCATCGCCTTATGTCGACAAATTCCCTCCATATTACTATAAATCTCCTCCTCTAAAATCTCCATCACCACCACCTCCTTATGTCGACAAATTTCCACCATATTATTACAAATCTCCTCCTCCACCATCTCCATCACCACCACCTCCATATGTTTACAACTCACCACCTCCTCCTCCATATATCTACAAATCTCCACCTCCACCACCATACGTCTATAGTAGTCCACCACCACCTCCATATGTGTACAAGTCACCACCTCCTCCACCTTATGTATATCCGTCACCTCCATATGTTTATAAGTCCCCACCTCCTCCTTCACCTTCTCCTCCACCACCATATGTCTATAAATCACCTCCACCTCCATCCCCTTCACCTCCTCCTCCATATGTCTATAAGTCACCACCTCCACCATCTCCATCACCACCTCCACCATATGTTTATGAGTCTCCACCTCCACCATATGTCTACCAATCTCCACCACCACCTCCATACATTTATAAGTCACCTCCGCCACCTTCACCTTCACCACCTCCTCCATACTACTATAAATCTCCACCCCCACCATCCTCTTCACCTCCTCCACCTTATGTTTATAAGTCACCACCACCACCATCGCCTTCTCCACCTCCTCCATATGTCTACAAGTCACCACCCCCTCCATCTCCTTCACCACCTCCTCCATATGTCTACAAGTCTCCACCTCCACCATCTCCTTCACCACCACCACCATATATTTACGAGTCTCCACCTCTACCATATGTCTACAAATCACCACCCCCATCTTATCCTTCACCAACTCCATTTTATCCTTCACCAACTCCTTACATTTATAAGTCTCCACCTACACCATACAATCCATATTTATATAGTTCACCTCCTCCTCCCTTGTATTAAACTTAATATGTATTTTGATTTTCTTCAATAATTTTACTATGATCAATATTGTGTGGTTTGTAATAATGTCTTCATTGTAATAAAGACTTAAATTTTAATAAAAGATGTATATGAACTCTATGTTGTATCATTATGAATCAGAATTAATTTTACAGTTGATTTATTTATTTATTTATTTATTTTAAATTTCATATAATGTCATTTACAGTTTTGGATGTCTTAACTTAAAAATATTTAAATAAATAATGAGACAGAAATGACTCATATACAATATATCATACAAAAAAACTCAAAGCTCAACTCAAAACAATGGGAATTACTCCTTCCTTATTCACTCTAATAGAGAAACACATATTTATGATATAAACAAGATCCACCCTTTGACTCTGCGAAGAATGTTCCACGACAATACATTTTTATGTTAGAAATGGATTGAAGTTCGGTTTAACTTTGTAAGAGATAAGCACTAGTTTGAACTATTTTATAAAGTGAAAATTTGAAAAAGTTCAATAAGTCACACAAGATACACAATTTTGTAAGTCGGAGACAACACACATCTTGCGAGCCTACATGTGTTATTATCGTCTGATCGCCCAATTCAGTTCATTTTAATCGAGTTGGATTTGGACTTAGGTGATACATTAGTTTTTATCTCGGAAAAATATAATTTAACATTAATTTTTCTATAAATACGTTTTTCTCGTCCATTTTATTAATTACGCAATTTTTTATGTGCGTCTGAACAAGTCTTCAACTGCTTCAGCTGAGTCAATCCATAATCGTTTGGTGTCCTCCCACTAATTTGATTTTTTTTAAACTGATTCATCTGATCATGGGAAGACTGGCCAAATTTGTTTCCCATATTCTCTTCTTTTTGGATTTTAGAATTCAACTATAAATAAAAGTCTCCACACCTCATTAATTTCACTCCAGATTTTTCTGTAAAACTAAAATCTCTCTTATCTCTCTCTAATATGTTATATTTAAATATTTGATCTTTATAGTCTTATTTTTTCAGTGTCCTCATTGTTCCATATACAGTTTGAATATATATTAAATTCGAGTGGTCTTCGTACCATACAACGTGTAATTTGTGGATTTGTTTGTTAATGGGTCATATCATGGACTCGTTAATGTTTTTTTAGTTATAAATGTGACAATCTTAGGCTTGTTTGTGGATCCATTTTTCTCTCATTTGTTAGGTGAGAGTTTCATAAAGTACAAATAAGGGTTTATAAATAAAGGGAACCTTTTAGAGTTATCTAGAAGAGTCAGATAATACTTCTTGATACTTTGAGTTTGAGTGATTCATGTAATAGGAGTTAGAGAGGTTGAGAAACACATGGGTAGAAAATAAGGGTTTGTTCATGGGAGCCTTTAGGGTTTGTTCTTGGGAACTCTTAAGGCTAAGGATATTTTATTGTAACTCATATGTAATCTCTTATAATAATTTTTTGAGTATCGTGAATTATAGAGCTGCTCTCTCCCCCGAATGTAGATCATTTGATCGAACTGGCTAAATAATTTTCTTGTGTTCTCGCCTATTATTATTTTTATTGCTTGTTTGGTTTCCATTGTTCTTTGCCTCACATATCAAAGTGTTGATTATAATTGAACCTTGTCATTATCACAATAAATGGCGCCCCACCATGGGACAAAGAGGTTAAGTTTACAAGTGAGCACCATGGATTTAAAATGGGACATCCAGAAGGTTTCCAGAGACAACGAATTTGAATTGTGGAAGGAAAAGATGCAAGCAATACTAATTCAACAAAAGTGTGCAGAAGCAATAAAGGGAGAGGCATTGGTGCCTGCAAAAATTAAACAAGCTGAGAAGACCAAGATGATGAATAAGGCCAAAAGTATCATTATCGTGTGCCTCGTAGATAAAGTATTAAGGGAAGCCGCGAGGAAGAAGACTGTAGTTGAGATATGGGTCAAGCATGATTCATTATATATGAAAAATTCATTGGCTCATTGTTTACATGGAAATTTGGTAACCAAAACAAATTTAAATTCACTTAAGGAATCAAACTCGAAAATATCTCGGACATATTGTGCAAAGGTTGAAATTTTTGGAATTACTTGACATCAACGTAAAAAAATTTTAAAATGCAGTAAAATAACTTGAACGTAAAGAACTTGAAATGAAATAAAATGATTGAATGTAAAGAACTGGATTTATAAAATGGAACACAATACATACATTTTCTACACTCATTTCTCTTAACACTTGGTACTTTGAGTATTTAGAATTTGTGTGTACAATTGCAGACCCTACAACTATAAATAATTATTGGTTATATACAAGTCCTAAAATAATTGTTTATAATGGTTGAAGCAGCAAATCTTGCTACGTTTCCATCGCCATGAAAACTTCGTCCTCATAAGCTTTACACGTGTTGTTGAGTAACCGTTTGATCTTATATGTTTTAAGTCTCTTAGAAAAAGAAGTTAAACGTGTTTGTCTAGATACTTGAAATTTCACTAAGTCTCAAACACACTTTTATCCCTCATTAATAACTATTAGACTGTCATACCCCAACATTTCCCCTCTAGTATCAATAATCATATTATCTTTATTGGACATTTTGTTATTTAAATTTTGGTGCTACTATACTTTAGTTACTAATTTATTTTTTCACATATTTTTGTTTTAAATCAAGTGGGGTTAAGATTAGAAATTGGGGGTGTGTACATGTTTTTTTTTTAAATTCCTATTATTCTAAAAAAAATTGATTCGAGGGCCTATTAGATTTTTGATAGTGGCCCATTAGGGTGAGAGTTGACCGAAGTCAAATTCTAAACTTTTGTTACTCTTATTTAGTTTTTTGTTATTGTTATTATTCTTTATGATATCATTATCTTTTAAATTCAATTTGTTTATATTATTATTTTTTGACTAAAGTCAATATTTGTTACTGTCAATATTGATGGTAATTATCATCATCATTATCGATAATTTTATAATTTTATTTGACTGTTATTATTATTATTATTAATAATAAATTAATTTTATTTGATAATATTATCAATTATTATTACTAGTTTATTAGATTGGTTGACCAAGTCAACAGAGGGTTTGAAACCACAGTTTATCAAACGGCGCAACCATCTTCGTCTTCATTAAGCAACCCTACATCAAAACAACACAGGCCCAAATCTAGAAATCTCAAACAAATCAAATTACAAAAATTTATCAAAAAAAATATAATCGTATCAAATCACATCGAATTATAATACAAAATTGTCCAAAATTATACGAATCATATAATTTACAGAATCTATCTCTAAACAGATCTAACACTAATTCTTAATTTCTAACAAAATCATCTAACTATAACGCAAAATCAGCAAAAACTTCCTAATCTATATATGAACTAAACCTGTAAATATGTAATTCAAAAACTAACTAGGAGGGAGAAATTGTAAACAAAAATAGAAGAAAGAGGAGACAAAGAAGTGATTCCCTTGGAGCTTCCCCTTTGCGTAGGTCTAGGGTTTCTGAACAAAAACCCTAAGTTCTTCCTTCAAATTGCCGCTGCACCGCTTTCATCATCATCTTCTGATACCTGTAAAACAAACAAGGGAGGATATTAGTGGTGGCGTAAGATAAACTGAGCTTGAAGATCTACGGCGGATAGAGGTAAACACTATGCTTAGCTTTTTAATCTTGTCGCAATTATTGTTGTTATGTTGATATAAAGGGGATGGTGGTTTGATTTGGGGCCAAAGAGGGCTAGCACCTCTTCCGATTTTGATTAGGCTTTGGAGGGGGTATGGTTGTTGTTAATTGTTGGAGAGAGAACGAGAAAAGAGAGAACCGAGGGTAACGAGAGAGAGAGAGAGAGAGAGAGAGAGAGAAAGAGAGAGAAAGAGTGTTGAAAAGGAATGAAGATGTTAAGAAATATAAAAATATAACTCCCTCAGCGTTCAAATACACCCTCCCTACCGTTCACCTTCATCACGTCCCTTAGATCTCAGTCAAACACTCGCAAACTCCACGCCCATCATAAGCACATACGGGCTCGCTATACAGGATCCAAACGGACCTTTCCTTGTTCAAACTTTGGGCGAGGCCCAATTTCTAGTGACACCCCTGCCTGTCCTAGATATTTACTACATAGACCAAAATGACACCCCCATCGTAATAGGTCAAGTCCAACATCTGGACTTAGGCCCTCATTATTCAGACCCCCCAGTTTTGCTAGTACGTTCAGATCCACACCCCCTGCTTTTTGGGTCTAAATCCAATATCTGGATCTAGGGCCCTGCTATTCACACCACTGGATTTTACTAGCCAAACTAATTTTGCACCCTCTTGCCTTTATAAAATAAAATCAATTTATTTTAATATCTTCATTAATCTATTTATTTATTTTTTACTTATTTTCTATCATTTTTGCGAAATTGATGAATTATTAATACTTAATATATTTTTAATTATAAAATTTTGATTTAATTCAAATTATTATTTTTTTAAATACTACCCCTTTTTTATGATTTAATTACATTAAATATTTTTCTCGTGCATTAAAATATATTTTTCTCATATTGTATCACTTATTCGAAAATATCAAACCAACCAAATACTAAAATTTTCTACTAAAATAATTCAAATATAATTATTGTTGTACCCCAAAATTTTCCTTCTCATTTATCAAGACTTTTCTCACAACATCTCTTTGACTCAGGACTGCATTAGGGTTTGATCAGCTCAAGACATCTCATCTTGCACTGATGACCCAAAATTAGGGTTTGAGTTTTCCAAAGATTTTTAGACTATCAATGCTTCATATGACTTTCAAACATCATTATGTACCCCTAAGATTACTCATGACAAGTTTCAAGCCTTGAATCACATTTTTGATTAGTGAATTGGACAGTTGACCTAAAAATCAGTTGTATTAGAAAAAAGTCAACCATGGCCAATTTACAGTCAAACTTCATAATTTTTGATCCACATCAACCTTTTAGACTCATATGTATCATTTGATCAA